GAAAGAAAGAAAGAAAGAAAGAAAGAAAGAAAGAAAGAAAGAAAGAAAGAAAGAAAGAAAGAAAGAAAGAAAGAGAAAACCAGAGAGGAAGGCCCCTGGGTGCCTGCTCACCAAAATACCCACCTGGCTGTGGCACTCTTTCACCCCTTCCAACTACTGTCTGTTTTCAAGCAGACAGAACTTCAGGAGCAAGAGGCTGCTTGAATAGTTTGCTATTTGGTGCTCCCAAACGTTGGTGGATGTGGGTCAGCTTCATCAGAGTTGGAGCTAAGTGCTTGGTTACAAGGAATAAAGTTCTCCTGGAATTCCCTCAAAAAGAAAGAATGCTTGTCCCAGAACTGTGTGTGTGGCGATCATAAGGACAGAACCTCATGGAAAGCTAGCAGCAGGAAGTACAAGAGGACGCAGACTTCCTGAAAGCATAGCTGTAGGCCATCTGCATCCAAGCTAGCACCAGGGACCTCTTGCATCCAGAAATTCATGGATTTTCACCTTAGAGTTGCACCATCAATATGATGGGGGCTCTCTAGGTGTCTGCTCCTCTCATCTCCTTGTGTCTGTTGGGGGACTCTTTCCCGAGAGAGGCAGAGGATTGGCCCCAGCTCATCATGCTATGCCAGACATAGACACGGGCTAACGGGGATGGGCTCCATTCTTAATCCATTTGTGGTTGGCAAGGAGTGTACAGAAGAAAGCAAGATCTTAGGATGCCCCAATGTGGTCCCGCAAGCAGGCAAGATCTGAGGTTGAGTGTGCCCAGGACACATGCCCAGGGCAGTCTGTGAGACCAGTCCTCTGCTACTCAGCTCCCCGCACCAGGGCTCTGCTCAGAGGTGAAAGCCACAATTCGAAGTTCACTGGCGTGGTCCTCAGTCCTGCATCATGAACAGCAGAATGTAATATTTATTGCCCCCCCTACAGACTGGGTGTCAAGATGAAAAAAAAATAATAATTCTAAATCTCACACAAGGGCTTTGGAGATCAATGAGGTAATTTATATGAAATAGTTTGGGCTCGCTGG